TATGTTTGGACCAAACAGAATTGCTTTTATCTTTTCCAGCTTTGAGTCTTAGTAAATGATGTATTATTTGTATATAATTTTAAACTGACGTTTAATAACATTGCTTTGACAATGTCGTTTATTTCGTAAACAATTGACGAAGGCAAAGTCATAATTCAATAAAGATACCTTTTTTAGCTATAAATTTGTTCATTGTCAAAAGATATTAACGATAAGTACATTTTCCCGCCGCGAGCACAACAATCATTCTTTATATATTAATTTTACATTCCGAGAAGAAATATTAAAAGCATTTCCCTTTTTTTTTGGCCGTACCAAGTTATTTAAAAGTGCATATAACCTGTTTATCTCACATCTCAAAGCTCTGCGGCCTCAACTTATTTCTGACATTTGTATTCGCTGTTTTTCCAATGACCTTCCATTTAGTGAAATAATAAAAAAAAACAGGAAAAAAAAAAACAGAGCTCGACAAAAAGTGTCAATCAAAAAAGAAAGAAAAATAAAAGTTCACACCAGCCGGCTGTTCAGAGGAAAGTATTACTTTTAACTTTGATCTGAAGGCCCAACACTTCAAACTTTCATTTGTATGCAAATGACTGCCCCGGGAGCGTTAACTTTTTTCACTCAGATTGTGCCGACAGTTGAACTTTATACGCTTTAAACTCACAGGTTCTGTTTTTGCAAAGCCACATCAACTTGTTAACAGTGTCAAATCTTAATCAAATTCTCGAGATAAATCTTGTTTTATTACAAGATCTAAACACTTATATAATTAATTTAAAAGCTCCAAGTTTGTCAAAAAGGCCGCCACAGATTTTCCTTCCGCTGTGCCCTCCCAAAAATATTATATGGGGCAAAGGAATTAACATTTCGCAGCACGAAATACAGAATTTGCACGCACAATTTTTCACCAAATGAAGAAATTTCATTTTTGCAAGATGGTGAAAATACGAAGCTTTACGTCATGGCGTACTTTGCAGTTCACTTTTGCATTTAAGGATGTAGTTACAGACTACAAATATTGATGGACCGACTGTGAGAGGTGAATTAATTTGATCTCATTAAACAGTCTAAAGATTAGTTCCCAGTTATTTGTCGCGGCTGGGGACATCTTTAAGAGTTGAATAAAAACGATTACTCGGTTTTTCCACAGATTCAAATAATATCCGCGACCTATAAGCATTCGATGCTGAGGGGACCGCAAATGTTGTGTTTTTCCTTTTTAATTTAATTACCCCTTTAAGGACCTTAAGGCAACTTCCAGTACATAGCAATTTCTGATGCATCTTTATAGAATCAGTTACAACAAGGAAATCAGAAACATGATGTCGTTTTGATGAAGGCAATATCCAAACACTGCGATGTAAGTTTATGTAAGTGAGATCAGTCAACTTCTCATTAAAGCGATTTTTTTTTTGCTTGAGATCAAATATGCACATTTTTCTTTGCGATCCTACTTTGCTGAGCTGTGACAGTTACAAGGCTATATGTTTAAATGTGTATTGTGTGGATTTGGTTTGCTTGATTTCTAGATGATTCCTTTTTTTTTATTATCATCTGCCGATCAACTTTGTTGACACCTGCCTAGAAAAGCGCTTGAAACTAGCGTAGTGCTGTTACATTTTATGATGTGAAAGTTAGTGCGCTCCTTTAATTGAAGAAACGTAAGCATCAATGCTCGAAGTTTAACTCCCAGGTTATTGTAGAACATACGCAACCCATTTGAAAGGAACAATATACTGATGGTTCGAAACCAATAGTTTTCTTATTTCTAGTGTTTAAAGGTTTTTTAGCTAATTGAACAACAGGGTTCTTTTCTTTTCTTTAATTAGAATTTGTTAAGACAACTAAGGCCTATATTTAATTGCATACAAACAATTTTCTGCGGCGCCTTCCTACTGGTAGTTAATCGCTTAGTCTCTCGTCCCACTTGCTATTTCTCGAAGGACGACTCGAGCGGAAACGCGCACTTTCTACTCAAGCTGCCGTTAGATTGTTTCGTTTTCTTGTTTGTTTGTTCGCAACTGAACGGAGATCTGAAAAATTTAACTTCATATTACAGGTGAAAACTCGGTCGCGTATGATTAATATACAGAAATCTCTAGCTCTCTAGCGTGTATAACTGCCTTCAGAAGTAATGACTTTAATTGAATATAGCAGATAATTTATTTGCATTTATCTTAATATCTTATTGACTTGCAGTTGCCCATGTAGAAGGAAGAAACCTTTAACACTAGTGTGTATCGCCTATCTTCCTTCAGTTTTTTAAAAAGAAAACCGAAAATTGTTTTTATCTCAGTGTAAAAGTAAGGAGCAGCATAAGATGAATATGATTATGCAAGACTGAAATCAGTGGTGACGCATGCAATAATTGAAACAATTTAAATCAGGTTTGGAAAATAATGAATTCATAGTAGAACGAGGACAACTAGCCAGGGAAGCTAAGCTTACTTACAATAATAAAAGAAAGTTTTAATAACCTAAAAATTGGTAAATAAAATTTTGACAACTGGAAGGCAATAGATCATTTGAATTGAGGGTGCGATTAGAAGATCCAGGTTCTTTATGTAGACCGGGTCATGCACCAGATTAGCCTTTGCTATTTGGATGATCCCATGCAGCTCGCTCTCTATTTTGTTGTAACATTTTTCTTTTATTCCCTAGTTGAACTGTGTTTAGTTGCTTATGTAAATTTAACCTTTATGTCATGTAAAACTGAGTCGAGAGTTAATAAATCATCTTGTCTTGTCTTCATTCGGGACTTGCCTTCATAAGCTTGAGGCCTGCATCAGTTGTGTGGCTTCCAGTCCCTGAATTATGAAGTGAACAAATGTGGAAGACAATTATCGTAAGGGTTAAAGGAAGCCTTGCAAACACCTCTCCTGCAAGCTAGAGAGCTGCTATCAGCTCACTTGTGTGAAGTTATAAAATCAAAGGGTCACAAGCAACTCGGTTCATTTGTTTATGCTAAACTACACACTGTGGGGAGTCTTCATCTGGTGAAGATCACAGACCTAGACAACGACTTCTTTTTAACCATTCAAAGTATAACCGAATGTCTACTATTCTCAGTCGCTGCTGAGCAATTTCTCAACCAAAGGCGACCTTCTTAGGTTAAAGTCGAAGGTTTTTAGCGCAGCCCATCAAAATTTAACTTAGTTTGAGGCCCTGTTCGTTACAGTGGTTGTAATATCCAGGGGCATCCAACGTCAATTTTCGGAAAATATCTGTTCAGAAGACGAATTTAGATCTAGAATTTTCGGAACATTTGTTGTAAAATTTCTTGCTTGCCTGCCTCTTCTAGGATTTTCGAACGTATAAAAAAATGGTAGATTGCCCATTTTCAACGGATTTTTACCTTAAAAAGGTCTCCTAGAATTTTCGGGAGCCTCTTTTTGGCTGAAATTTTCGAAAAGATAAGTTTTGATCCCTATAATTTTCGGATCACTAGACTTTCAGCTAGAAAATCCGAACAGATGAAAAATTTTTAGGGGATAAAAATATGCCTATACCTACCGTTGAAATACTAGAATACGTTCAACAATGCTATGTGGTTATGAACTATATTCTCGTTGGGTGCCCCTGAATATCCCTTTACATATAAATTAGGGATAATGGGGAGTTTTGTAACTGTTTTTCAAAATAACATTTTTTTTGCATTTTAAGAGCAGCTTTAGATTTAAATGCGCAGAGATTTCGGTATAGAGATAAAGCAATCGTATTTTGTCAATATTCAATATCAAAAACCCTCAGGAGATCATCAATAAACTACATTAGCCTTTTATATTAAAAATATTTCCAACTAGCACCTTCATTTATTAATTCGAATACTTTGAAACCCTTGCCTATAAACGACCCCTTATAAGCTTCAATAGCTAAACGACATGAATTCCCACCCGGGCGGAGAAACTCAAAAATCAGTCAATTGTCATTAAATACAGTGAATTAAAAACATTCCAACTTATTCCGGCGCCGTTAACGAGACGTTTTGGCTTCGAAGAGAGTCGTTTTCAGATAAATGCGTCTGTCAATGCACGAAAGGTCAATCACTCAAGAACTATCGCGTAGAAGAAGATGATCATTTGCGCAGAGATATCAAAACTTTCTATCCAGACAAAATCAGCTGTTTTGTAAAGCAGTTATGCTTCGTAATTTGAAGTTTTTATGTTTTTGTTTTTCTTTTCTTCAACTAGCGCATCTTCAATTTCTGATTTTAAAAGCCTTTAATTTTTTATATAAACCCTCATATATACAGCTCTAGGCGAATTAAATAATTAGTTCACTGATGCGTTGACTTATACCATACTTGCTATCACAAGGAACTTTTAGTTACTTTGAAGTGAGAGTTTATCAACAACTGTCAGTTCTGCAATAAAGACAATCTTATCTTAATACTGAAATTTTTGCTGTTAGAAAAGAATGAATCAAAATATATAATGGTAGCTCGATAGCTGTTGGTAGATCCGAGTGGCGCGTAACTTACTTCACAAGTTCTTTTCGAGCCGAGTTAATAAAAAATATTTTTATCCAATCCTTGGATTCATCCCTAGACCTTTTATTTCAAATTTCTACCAACACTTTTAATTATCTGAAAACGGCGTGTGAGAGTAACATCTAGACAATACGAGAATAATATTCTTCAATAGCTTATGTCGGTGAGCTTTTTCCTAGTTCAAATCGTGGCCAGTGGCTATACCGAAAGAGTATAGGAAAACAACCTTTCTTTACGGATACCGCCTCTTATCGATATTATTCTATTTTCTCGCTTTCAGCTTAATTGAGGAAACGCTAACAGCATCTCAAGTACTGCAGATTAAACTAATTAACCGAGGATCCAAAGTACGGTTAACTTTCCGACACCTATCAACTTGGCGTCATGTCTGTCAAATAAATCACAGCACACCGCTTTAAGTTATTTATAATCCAATTACACTCCAAGTACCAGTCATAAGAAGAACTCTTGCCATCATCACTTGCGACGTGGAAACGGTCATCTAACCATGAACAACAGCTCTGAACCCAACCCAGCCACTACAGGGACCGACGCAGTACCCGGGTTTCCTCCCTCTTTCGTGTACCCAGTGGCGACGTGTCACATCTTAATTGTCGCTGTGGCAGTCCTTGGAAACCTCATAGTTTGTTACGCAATAATCACTAACAAAAGTCTCCGAAGCAGCCCAACAAATTTGTTCATTTTCTCGTTGGCGTTCTCAGATCTTTTTACTGCAACATTAGCAGTACCATTTGACATAGAAGGCCTTTTCCTTAACTGGGCTTGGAAGCATGGAGAAATAATGTGCGAGGCGTGGATTACCATTTACCTTATCACTGTACCCACGTCCATTTTGACCCTTTTGGCCGTGAGCGTGGATCGTTACAAGAGCCTTAAAGATCCCTTGAATCGATTTCGCCGCTTCCGATTTATAACACGAAAGAGAGCTTTAATTGTTATTTCTGTCATCTGGCTTTACAGCTTGATTTTTGCTTTAATTCCCGTCATGGGCTGGAGAGCATTTAAAGAGTTTGTTTATGAGGGAGTCTGCTACTTTCCTTTCACTGAAATTTATTCCACTCTCAGCTCTTGCCTAAATTTCATCATTCCACTGCTGGTAACGTGCGGTATCTACGTTAAGATTTACCTCATAGCGAGGTCTCAAAGCAGCACTTTTGATAAAGAGATCTCACTACAAATGCGTACGACGGAAGCCTGTTCACGACAAACGCGTTCAACTGAAGAAAAGAAAATCTATTTAAAGAATATTCGAGCGGCCAAGACTATCTCCATCTTTGTAGCCGTGTTTTTCTTTTGCTGGGTTCCTCACTCTTTCATCAGCATCACTGCCAATCTCTGTCAATCATGCCGAGCTAAAATCCCAAATGAAGTTCGTGTTCTAGTTTTGATGTTTGGATACCTTAATTCTGCCCTCAACCCATTTCTTTTCGCTTTTCGAAACAAAAGGTTCAAGGCCGCCTATTCAGCACTATTTTATTATTCATTCAAAATAATTCCTAGTTTAAAAACATAGCTAAAACAAGCTTACCTGCATCGATGTTAAGTTTATCTTCGATAGTTTACGTTTAGGTGTGTCCAGCTCCGCAAATATTCTCCAAATAGCAGATGTCGCCCTCCGAGTTGTCTTCTTGCTGTTTTTGCTATGTTTTAAGCCATTATTCCGTCTAGTTCCAGCTGTAGTTCTTACTCTTAAAACGAGTGAAGTGTCCGCCATGTTAGTTTTTACAACGAAAACAACTCAATCTCGTCCCCAGGTCTTCTCGGTTAACGGTGCATTAACCTGTAGAAGGCTGCATTTTTGACGTCATTTCCAAAAATTCTTCCAAATTTGGTCATCAGTAACTGGTTATGGTGAATTATGCGTGTGCTTTTAGCCAATCAGAATTGGGGAAATATTTTGAATGAATAATAATTAACTTTAAAGGTAACAATACAACAAATAAAAAAATTGAGCTATTATATAGAGATAAATAAAAGTATAATTGCACAATGTCCCGGCGTCGAAATGTCCATTGTCACCACAGGCCAGTTAGCAATTATTGGATGAGGCTGAGTATGATCTGATTGAGGAGGGTGGTATCCTCCAAAAACGAAGGCTGAGGTGGATAACAACCTTCGAGATCTGCATAATTCTTCACATCATACGAAAGACGAATCTAATAATTGTTTTGACTATCCATTCAAAACGATTTGTACTTTAAAACACGCTTGCCTCGATTGATGTTAAATTCCCGTCTCAATTTGTATGTTCCTCCGCAAATTCAGGATACAAACAGAAGTTTAGTAGCAGCTGTCATCCCTTGACTTGTATTTTTACTGTTCTTCCTGTTTTTAGGCAGAAGTTCGGCTGTTTCCTCTTCACAAAACGTGTGAAATTTTCTGCAATATTCTCCAGCTCTACAAAAACCGCTGAGCTAACGCAACCTCGTCCCCAGTGGCCTCTCGGTTGCCGTCCATTCTCCCGGCGATAGCCTGTACAATAAACATCATTTTATCGAAAATCGCAAACGTCTTCCAAATAGGCCATTTGCGAATTGCTCGAAACCCTGTTTCATAGCCTGCGAAAATATCCGTTCCTCCTCGCGAAACGTCCCCAGCGGCGAAGAGCGAGGAATAAACGGATGTTTTCGCAGGCTACTGTTTCAAAGCCAGGGTTAGTACAAAGCAAGAGCCATAATCGGGGTATTACACCGAAACTAGCCGTGCAGTGCAGGCGTTTTCTTCGTGCACGCGAATGTTTTGCTCGCGAAATCGCATGTTGAAACTCGAAAAGAGGGGAGAAAATGGGGCGAGTCAAAAGAAGCGGGTATTTTTACTTTCCCTAATCTTCTTCCCTCATAGAGTGGTTTTCGTTTGAGTGTCGTAAAACCAAAACCAAAGTAATTACTCTGGCCAATCACATAGGACACAGACAATACATTGAACCAATCAAAACTCGAAGTAACAATCATGCCGAGCTAAAATCCCAAATGAAGTTCGTGTTCTAGTTTTGATGTTTGGATACCTTAATTCTGCCCTCAACCCATTTCTTTTCGCTTTTCGAAACAAAAGGTTCAAGGCCGCCTATTCAGCACTACTGCGTACGATGAAAGCTAGACCTCTATTTACAAGCAGTTTGAGACGTCGCTCCACTTTAACAGCTAGTACTTGTCATTCTGAACTTCCAGATCTACAAGATAGCGTGGTTCGCCTACAGTTGGCTAAAACGAAACGAGAAAGCTGAGCAGACAAAAGACAGTCTGCTCTATGAGCTTCTGACTCCACAATTCTTAAAGAAGTTAGCATCGGAAACAGAATCATGACTAACAAAATTTTAATTTTTTTGAGGTCAATGCTTGGTTGTGTTTGGGGTGGGCCTGAATCGGTTTATTGTTTATGCCGACTAAACAACATAACATTGGCCGTTCTGGAGCTGTTTTTGTTCAATCTTTCCGGAAAAAAATTACTGTTAAGGTATTTTTTACTGTTAGTATTAAAATGCCTAAAATTTAACTGCTTGATGTTACAGCTCTGAGCCAAAAAATTTAGTGTTTAGCGTTATCGACTGAAGGTACGCATTCAGACCCTCTTTGCGCCCTGGCGTGGAATGTGTGAAAGATCTTACCATTGAATTCTTTTAGTTAATCACATCTCAGAGGTAAATCTAAGGGACGGTCCCCAAAAGGATTCTTCAATCTCGTCATTCCTACAAAAAAGGTTCCCTGCCTTGATGCAGCAGCGTAGTGCTGGCAGATCCCATATGCCTTGAAAATAAGCTAACAGATTCTGAAGCTCCCTCATCTTCTTAGGACCAGCTGTGGCGAGGGCTGGAGTAAATTGGTTGGTACACTCAAAATTAAAGGCAAGTGTTATATAGGGTGGGAAAAAAGGCGAGCAATTTGTGCTTTCGCAACATACCCTTAAACCAGCATCGTTAAACGACCAAATTTCGTATCCCGCTCATCATTAAAATCCCGCATCTCGAAAAGCCAAATCCTGGATCCCGTAAATCTTATTGGCAACCTTGGCGCATTTCACTGTACAACGCTCTATACCATCAAGTTTAGATAAATGAATAATCAGCATTGTAGCTTCATTCGAATATTAAAACATGTAAATTCTTAATATTTAAATCAATCAATTGTATTTAAATACAGGGTTGCCATATTTAACTTTAAAGGTAACAATACAACAAATTAAAAAATTGAGCCAATATAGAGATAAATAAAAGTATAATTGCACAATGTTTCGGCATCGAAATGTCCATTGTCACCACAGGCCAATTAACAATTATTGGATGAGGCTGAGTATGATCTGATTGAGGAGGGTGCTATCCTCCAAAAACGAAGTCCAAGGTGGATAACAACCTCTGAGATCTGCATAATTCTTCACATCATACGAAAGACGAATCCAATAATTGTTTTCATTATCCATTCAAAACGATTTGTACGCTTGCCTCGATTGATGTTAAATTCCCGTCTCAATTTGTATGTGCCTTCGCAAATTCAGGATACAAACAGAAGTTTAGTAGCAGCTGTCATCCCTTGACTTGTATTTTTACTGTTCTTCCTGTTTTTAGGCAGAAGTTCGGCTATTTCGTCTTCACAAAACTTGTGAAATTTTCTGCAATATTCTCCAGCTCTACAAAAACCGCTGAGCTAACGCAACCTCGTCCCCAGTGGCCTCTCGGTTGCCGTCCATTCTCCCGGCGATAGTATGTACAATAAACATCATTTTATCGAAAATCGCAAACGTCTTCCAAATAGGGCCATTTGCGAATTGCTCAAACCCCTGTTTCAAAGCCAGGGCTAGTACAAAGCAAGAGCCATAATCGGGGTAGGACACCTAAACTAGCCTGCAGTGCAGGCGTTTTCTTCGGGCACGCGAATGTTTTGTTCGCGAAAGCGCATGTTGAAACTCGAAAAGAGGTGAGAGAATGGGGCGAGTCAAAAGGAGCGGGTATTTTTACTCTCCCTAATCTTCCTCCGTCATAACAAAGATGGCAGTTACAAAAGTACGAACATAAACAAGCAGCTTTCGCCCGCCCAAAATACGCCTCTACTGCAGGCTACACCAAAACTGGATGTCTTTTCCAGTAATGGGGTTGAGTTCATCGAATTAGCCAAATGTGCTATTTTTAGCACAAGCTGTGACTGTGCCATATGGGGGGCCCGCGCGCGCACTTTTGACGAGGACGCCGCGCAAAGGATGAAGAAACAAAATGGCGTCGGAAATTACCTCCGTAAGAGATGAGTAAATTCCATTTCTGTCATTATTGCCTGCGGCTCTGAATTTGAGGCAAGACCTTGAGAAGAACCTTTTTGTCAAGACTTAATTTGTCGACTGTGAATGTGATTCTGCTTATGGTAAACACCGTAGTGAGAGTGTTTTTGACAATTCCAGCGACGAATAGATGTCGGAGATGTCGTGCGATGAACATCCCGTTCGGATGAGACAAACAAAAAAATCTTTTGGGAAAAGGAGGGCGGAAGGTTAACAGCAACAACAAAAAAATAATTATTACTAATTTTCCTCAAATTTGTCTTTGAATTCTTGATAAATACAGCTCCACCAGCTTCAAACAGCATCCGTTGGCAGAATTTCACGAAAATAACACTTTGAATAATAATTTTCCACCGTACTTTATTCTTGTCAGTGTGGCGCAGTGGTCTAGGAGACGACGTCCTTCCGTGCAAATGGAATAGGTTCGACCCTTGGCTAAGCTGTTTTTTCTTTGCTGTATATATTTTTTGTTTTTGTTTTTGTTTTTAACCATATTTTTCCCCATGGCTTGCTTAACTTTATTCTTACTGCTGGTCAATTACAGCTTCGCGAGGTTATTGCGATAAACATAATTAGGGCCGTTTATACGAGAGAAAATAAGCCGCGGCTTACTCTGGCCGCGGCTTACATAAGACGCGAAAGGAACCATTTATACGAGTACGGCTTATATTAGACGCGAACTGCTCGTATAAATGCTTCACGGCTTAGTTCGCGGCCAGATCGGTCCAATGATGACGTAGTTTGTTTTGGTGCCTCGTTTAGGGGTAATTGCGTTTGCATCTCTCAACAATGGCTCGGGCGGGCAAAAAAGCTAAACGACTGGCTTTGGCCCGTAAAAAACGCTGTTTTTTTAAACTGTCTTTTCCATTTTAAACTGTCTCTTCGGTCAAGATTGGTGTTGGGTTCCCAGGTAACTAATTGGTTAAAGAAAATTGAGAAACTTATGCGAAAACCCCGACAAAAGATTCGACAGCGATCCGTTGAGTGGTTTCATCGAGATGTCCCCGCAATGTCAAACTCGCTGCATATGACCAGGATTTGTATTTCTTCTGGGGCACTCAACACATTTCTTTTTTTACATGAATCTCTATTCGCCATTTTCCACTTTGTAAATGTAAACAAAACCCATTTTCCCGCCACTGCGACGCGCGTCTCTCGGCGTGAAGATCTGGGATATAATTGAAAACAGAGCATGCGCAGCAGTCGTTCACGGCTTCAGCAAGCCGCGGAAAACGTTTGAGTGCATTTATACGAACACTTTCACGTCCAAGGTAAGCCGCGGCTAGGATAAGCCCATACCAAAACCCCTCGGCCAGGATAAGCCGCGGCTTGAGCTGGCCTTGGGTTGAATAAGCCGGGAACATAGATTTTGTACCATTTATACGGAGTGTTCGCGTCTTATGTAAGCCGCGGCTATAGTAAGCCGCGGCTTATATTCTCTCGTATAAACGGCCCTATTATCTAATATTATAAAATAACTAAGATAGTACGCGCGCTCTGATTGGCCGAGAGCAGTGTTTGCATGAGAGTATGTAAACATGGTTGCGGCGTCAAGTTGTTTGGTTTTTCGCGCGCTAATCACGCAAGCACAAATTTGAAGTCACAATTGGCTTTGGTTTTACTTCTGATTGGATGAAAAGGTGGCGCGAATCTTTTAAGCCAATCGCATCGTGTAGAAAGTGCAAAACCAATTACTTTTCGACACTCAAATGAAAACCGCTCTAACAAAGATCGCGGTTACAATAGTACGAACATAAACAAGCAGCTTTCGCCGGCCCAAAATACGCCTGCACTGCAGGCTACACCGAAACTGGATATCTTTTCCAGTAATGGGGTTGAGTTCATCGAATTAGCCAAATGTGCTATTTTAAGCACAAGCTGTGACTATGCCATCTTGTGTGACACGCGTGCGCACTTTTTGCGGGGTCGCCGCGCAAAGGATGAAGAAACAAAATGGCGTCAGGAATTACCTCCGTAGGAGATGGATAAATTCCATTTCTGTCATCATTGCCTGCAGCTCTGAATTTGAGGCAAGACCTTGAGGCGAACTTCTTTGTAAGCACTTAATTTGACGACTGTGAATGTGATTCTGCTTATGGTAAACACCGTAGTGAGAGTGCTTTTGACAATTCCAGCGACGAATAGATGTCGGAGATGTCGTGCGATGAACATCCCGTTCGGATGAGACAAACAAAAAAATCTTTGGGGGAAAAGGAGGGCGGAAAGCTAACAGCAACAACAAAAAATAATTATAACTAATTTTGCCTCAAATTTATCTTTGAATTCATGATAAATACAGCTCCGCCAGCTTCAAACAGCGTCTGTTGGCAGAATTTCACGAAAATGATACTTTGAATAATAATTTTACACCTAACTTTATTCTTGTCAGTGTGGCGCAGTGGTCTAGGAGGCGACGTCCTTCCGTGCAAATGGAATAGGTTCGACCCTTGGCTAAGCTGTTTTTTCTTTGCTGTATATATTTTTTGTTTTTGTTTCTGTTTTTAACCATATTTTTCCCCATGGCTTGCTTAACTTTATTCTTACTGCTGGCCCATTACAGCTTCGCGAGGTTATTGCGATAAACAAAATTATCTAATACTGTTTTAATAACATTGGCTCATTCTTCCTCTGTGCATGCATTGTCTATCAAGAAATGAAGCACTTGGGAAGTTCAGAAAGCACTCAAATCAAGTCGCAAAGCGATCACCCATCTCCTAAAATTCGACACGAGAGCCGCGAAGTTTGTGACATTGAGGGTGGCCAGGAGCTCATGATGGGCTCCTGGGGTGGCACAGTTTGTTCTTAAAATAGCTTATTTAGCTATTTAGATGGAACTGCGTGGACCGCGCGCTTGCGGTCTCCTATCCCGATTATGGCTCCTGGTACAAAGCTATTGATATGAAAATGAATTTCAATTTTCATGCAAAGTGAATACAGTGTAGTAATGCACTTTTCCTTTTA